GGGGGGGGGGGGGGAGCAGCCTTACTAGGCCACGGTAGAGGACAATGCAGCCACTTTTGATGAGAACTGATAGACTAAGATCAGAAAGGAGAGGAGAACCTCCCCTATCAGTGGACTTGGGGAGGGGCATGCATGCAGAAAGGGGAGGGAGGGTGGGATCGGGAGGGGAGGAGGGAAGGGCTTATGGGGGGATACAAAATGAATAAAGTGTAATTAATAAAAAAAAAAAAAGGAAACCTGATTTAAGAAGGCCAGGAAGAAAATGAGCTGCCTAAATATAGGTGTAAAAAGAGATATCTAAAGATCTGTGTCATGCAAATAATAAAATACTTTATAAAAACACACATACAGACATAATGAAGTTGAAAGATATCTTATTAGTTATAATGTGTTATAAATGGCATCTCTCTCCAAGAATTTATATAGACACACATAGAAGTATGCATGCACAATGTTTTCTTTAGGCTCCACAATTAAGTGATGTTAATTATAATCAACAAACAATACAAGAAAATTTTGAAAATGCTTTATTAGCTTCCTTTAAGAACTTCAGCGAATAGCTGAGGAGAGGACATTGCAAGCACAAGGACTAACAGTCAGGTTCCCAGTACCCAAGAAAGTGAGAGCAGGTATGATAGCCCGTGTATAAACCCAGTACTCAAAGGCAGAGATAGACTCCCAGAGCACGTTAGTGAGGAAGACTAGCTGAGTAAATGCTCGGTCTCAGCGAGAGACACTGCTTCAACACGGAAGGCAGAGAGGCATCTCTCTGGGTCTGGGAGAAGAGTTGACATTCCAATCTTCCCAAAATGTCACGAATTGATTACTACCTAAACCTGTTTCTACAAACTCCAAAGCTCCTAAGTTAGCCACCTGGCAGGAAGCATTCTGATAAAGAGCACAAGGATTGACTCCTGACCCCTCCTGTCAGGTCAATACGAATGGGCCTTCCAATCACTCAGACAGGAAAAGTGCCCTCAGGAGAGCTATCTCAATCTTTATTACAATATAAAATCTACTTACATTGTAGGTTGGCACAGTGGTTTCTGGCCATCATCTACTCGCACCCAGTGGGTACTCTGCTCACAATGGCCCCTTGGTCTTCTGTCTACTGTCATCACCAGAGGATGTGCCTTCCTCTACTCTAAATTGCGCTGTGTGCGTCTTGTATACTATGTTTTACTCCTCTGAATTGTTTCAATGGAGATCGAAAGGACCAGAGAGCAGAGAGATGGCCAGAATGAGAGCATTAGATTATCACTTTATAAGCTTCAAATAATCAATTTAGACAATTACCAGAAGCTTATGAACATCATACAAAAGAGAATCAGCCATCAAGTGGTGCTCCTCCATAAATAACTGAAAATGGATCAAATCTCCACATCCAGCCACCAGCACACAGGAGATGCATGACATGGAAGTTCATGGTAACTCTGAGTGCAGCCAGCAAGCCATACGGCAAACACCCTGCTACTCCCCCAACAAAAGAATTTGTGATAAAATAGGCAAAATGGAGGTGCAGGCATACCCCACTTGTAAAGGAAATGAGAAACCTACTAACGTCTTAGATTTTGTGGATTTTAGCTATAATTGTACATAGACAATTACTCATTCTCCAGCTTGCTTGAGACAGTGTCTCTTGTTCCCACTATGTATGCCAGGCTACATGAGCTTCTGGCCCATGACCTTCTGGTACATTCTTCTCTGGCTTCCTATCATGCATAGAAAAATTCCTACCGTGTGTGGCTTTTTAGATACTAGATTTCAATTCAACCTCTCATGTTTTTACAGAAAGCACATTATCACTGATCTATCCTCCTAGCTCTTTTTTTTTTTTTTATCTTATCTGGACCCTGATTCATTAAAAAATAAAAATATTTTTAAGACTTAGAGAAATGTAATCCAATATTCTCCAATACTGAAAAGTGATTACTTTTGGTTAATACTGGTAATGATATTAAAAATATAATCTTCCTACAGAGACTTGGATTCAGATATTGGAATTTTCAATTTATTTCAGATACTTAACTTTCAAGCCATTTTCCTTATTAAATGCAAAGAAACATACAAAATGAGTATTCATATTTCCTTCCTAGCATCACATTTCATCTCAGAGTCTACAAGTGTTGGTTATTGGAAATAAAGCATATGAATAACACACAAGTTGCTTCTGCTTAAACATAAACGGCTTACTATTATGATTATGTGCAAGCTGCTTCAGAGCTTCTTGAACCAATTTGAATACCATTTCACCATTCTATACTGCTCGGTCATCCCAATCAAGTCTAATGTTATGCATGAAATAAGGAAGCCTTTAGTTAGTTCTCAAGACAGGTTTTAAAATTTGACTTCATATCCACAATTTCTATCCCAACAAAAATGGGCCAAGCTCATGTTTCTGTGTCATCAACCAATAGACTGAAAGGCCATCTATGTTCTCTCATCACATGCCAAGAGAAAAGAGTGGTTAAAACAGACCTGAATAAATTCAGTCAACAAATTGCTCTACTCTTTGTTTTCTGGCACAATTAAATCAGACAGGTGTGACTTAGAAATAATGAACGTCACGAAAAACAGCCTTACCAGATAGGTGGAGGGCACTGGTACTGTTGAAAAAACTGAAAGTGTACTCTGTAAAGTCATCTGGGGACGGCACATCTCTTCTCCCCAGACAAAGCCCTTGCAGTGACAGAGCAATGATGGTTGCAGCCAGCTGAGGAAGCGTCTTTTCATCAGCACCATCGCTGCCCTGGATGCCAGATTTCCTCTGTAGCACCTTCGTCTCCATACACTACAACCAAAATCAAAGGGGAAATGTAAATGTTAGCTTCTGGATTTTCATTAAATAAGTCTTCTCAAAGGTCTTCTCCAATGCATGAGGAATTGTTCATCTAAAGAAGATTGGTCTGTAGGTATCATTTTACTATCCCAAAAGGACCTCGATAAAAGAAACATCTGACTTTCCAAATCTAATCCCATCCTCCCAGGGCTGACCTTTCCTGTGACTTTCCTGAGGATACACTTTTTGAAGTGGATCCCCTGCTCTTACAGCTTGCATTCTTTCCCTTGGTGATTTCCTCCCAGGTTCAAGGACTCTTGTAGACTGACTTTCAGCTCCGCACACCACCTCTGGTGGTGCACTGGTAACCCATGATGATTAATCTTAATGACGACATTTTCCATCACCTGGAAGAAGGGTTTCTAGCCATGCCTATGAGAGATTGTCTTGATGAGGTTCACTGAGGTAGAAAGACCCTATAGGTAGCATCATTGCCTGGGGCTGGGATTCTGGGCTGTCTAAAAAGGAGAAAGCAGGCTGATTACAAATATTCACTGCTGTCTTCGTTTTCATTCAGTGTGACTGACTAAGTGTTTAGGCTCCTACAGTCTTGACTTCCCTGCCTTGGTGGACTGTTCTTTAACTATGAGCCAAAAATACATCTATACTTCCTGAAGATGATCTTGTCAAAGTATTTTTGTCACAGTAACAGAGAAGCAACTGAGACACACTATTTACCACGACATCCACTGTGAGTCCCAAGCTCAGGGTGTACTCACTACAGGGAGTATATGGTCCCTGAACTTTTACAGAACATAACACATGTAGCCTTTTTTATGTGTGTATTCATTTTTCCTGATTAAATTCATTCCACCTGACAAGGTAGAATTTTGCCTTAAGTCCTATTATTGATCATGTTTACCTGCTATGGCTGTGTACAATGACAAGCCCACTATCAATGAACTGGAGTGAGTTGGTTCATCAAAAGAGAATATAAGCATAGGTTAACATGTCAACATTCAATTCCTGTGACATTGGAAAAGGAATAAGACAGCCTTTTGGAGTTATTCTCTCTGAGGTCTACTGGTGAGCTTGACAGGAGTCTATTCTCAACTGCAGTGGGAATCAGGGGCAGAAATTAGAAGCCCATGTGAGTCTAGCAAGTGTTTTACTCTGGGCTACACCCTCAGCAATGTTTTTACACATTTTTGACGAGTTTTGAAAAGTCCTATGAGAGAAAGGATCCAGTTGAGTTATAACAGCATGACCCTCACAATGATGTAAAGTTTTCAAAAAGATTGGGAAAAAAAAAAACATTATAGTCACAAGGTTCTGCTGAGAATAGAATCTTCAGCCATTGTTTTGACTCAAGAAGTCCTTAGAGTACATTCAATACCTACCTCTGGAACAGATGTGACTAGAATAAGCTGTCGTCAAATCCATGGATGCTTACCATAGACTAGAACACATCAAGAAAGATGTGAGGGCGCTGGGGATTGATTAAAGACAATGAAACATAAATACTTATGAACAAGAGTGAAGGAGCGGGTGGTATTTATATTCTGGTCTTGGAGTGTGACTGGATGAGGACACGAAGGTGTAAAACTGCTTCTCCTAGAAGTTGGTTGAAAACCATCTAGAATGGCTACTGGGGGCCTGACCCATGGAAGCCAAGTCCTGTGCATTTTAAGAGCTGACAAAGGCTGATGTGTAGCTCCTATGCTGTCTATGACAAAACAGCGGCCTGCAGAGAGATGTCAACAGCCTTCTGCCAAGTCTGGACTGACTGACAACCTAGGTAATTATGGGTAGATGGGCTCTAGGAACCATCTAGGAGTCACATATATTGCTATCTCTGGAAGATCACTGTCCTAAAGCCTAGAAAAGGCTCATAACAGTAGTTTACTTCTTGTTAACTACATGTAAAAAGTAGTTTTCTGTGTCCTGATATTTTATTCTCTAAAAATGTTTGATTTAACAAACACTGCAAAGGCTGAACATTGACCGTGTGGGGGCATACGCAGAAGCCCACTGCTACTCACCATCTGCCTTTAAGTACTGGATTTCCATTTCTATTTAATCTGCATTGAAAGGCAGCAAACAGGCAAGATGCCTAAAATCCTGGTGGATTATTCAAGCCAATCTTATAGCACAGAGAAATTGCAATGAAGATGTCACATATAGGAATGCATTTTTATTCAAAAATTGAATTCCATGAAGAAATCATTTTCTAAAACAGGGACAACTGGGCCAAAAGTTGATATTCACAGGAATAGAGATTCCATACAGATCTTTGCAAGATGTTTAGTAATATGCTCTTCCTTTTATATCAATAAGAAGAGAGATTAACCACATTTGCAAAATATAAAGGGAGTGCTTCCTAGTTGTCAAGCCAGAACAGGACAGCAGAGAGCTTTGGCTCTTAACAGAATTGATACTAAGGATTAAGTTTGGGTTTTTGTTTTTGTTTTTTTTTTTTACAAATCAAGGAATAATTTGAAAGATAAAAATACATTCACAGCCATTGTTTCATGAATGTTCACACTCCTTCAAACTGTGGTATGGATTCTCAAAGAACTCTTCTGGAAATACGATTCAACATTTATGAGGCAGACGGTGTAGGCTCAGTGGTAGAGTGCTTACCTAGCATGCACAAAGTCTTGGGTTCATTCCCCAGTATCAGTGATGATGATGATGATGATGATGATGATGAGTGTGTGCATGTGTGTGTGGTGTGTGCATATGTGTGTAAATATGTATGTGGTGTGCCCATGTGGAGACCAGAGTTCAATGTCAGTAATCCTCTTCTATTTTTTGAGACAGCGTCTGTCACTGAATCCACAGCTTGCCATTTTGGATAGACTGGCTGACTCAAAGTCCCAAATATCTGCCTGTTTGTCTCCAACCCCAGAGGTTACAGGAGTAATGAAAGCACCTGGCTTTTGCATAGGTGCTAGAGATCCAAATGCGGGTGTCCATTCTTGTGCTCCCAGCATTTCACCCAGCGAGCCATCTCCCCAGTTGTATATGATGAGAAGAAGAATAAACTTTACTGCAGATACCTTTGTCTGCTGAAACTTCCCATTATAAACCAGGAAGTAAAAGGTTCCTTGAAAGGCCAGCATTCCTAGAATAGTAAGGCAGCAGAAGACCAGATGCCCATTTCCTAAGAGTAGGAGCTGGCAGGAAAGGAGAAACACGAGCATGGACACAAAGTGCTAACCAGCAGAGGGGCTGCTGTTTGGGACTTATTATTGCAAATAATGCTTTTGCAAGCTTTTTTATCAATGAAGTCACTAATGATGAACTCATCTCTTAATCTGTTTCTGCCTTCTTCCCTGGCCAGAAGCCAAGACAACTAGACCCAAGTCTTCCACCACTACAGTTCATCTGTTGGCTATGGATCAAAAGCTTTGAGTCATTGGGTATTCAGGAGATGAGAGCTGACCTGTCACCTGGCCTTCCTACCCATCCACCCACCCAGCTTCTGGCTAAAAGTCATCCTCCACTTAGTCATTTCATTTCCACTCAGAATTTTAAATATGTCACTTACTAGCCTGCAATTGAAACCAGAAATACCTATCTTTCTTAGAAGTTTACTTAAGTCCTAGAAATGAGTAAAACGGCAAAAGTAAGGTCAACCCTACACCTCAGCCATCCATTAACTCTTACCTGGCTACCAGATGTGCCAAAGTACTTCCTGGTAAAAGCCAAGATGTCATCAGTCTCGTTCTGCGAAAGAAAGTAGGAGTCTTCATCCTCCCTGAGGCCGAGGAGGCTATGCAGGTAAAATGCATACTCTCTGTTGCTCATGTTGAGCTTTGAGGAACAGATCTCTTCCTGGTGAATGATGTAATAGAGGAGGAGGAGGGAAACTCTCTCGACCACCTCCTCTCTAAGCTCATCCTCCAAATCTCCACCAGCTGTGAGTAACAGAGCATCTGGCTCCAGACACTGTGGGGGAAAGTAAGGGAGAAAGAAGATAAAGCTAAGCTTTGCTCAGAACTCCAAAGCATTATCCACGTGAGTTTTCAACTGCTTATACCTTATGAGTACAGGGAAAGTCAGTTCTGGGAGCTACAGTCATCAAAGAGGGAGTCAGGTGAGACTTTTATTAGACTGTCATCTCCTGGGGACCCCTTTTCGTAAAAGTGACCTCTCTGTCCTCAAGATGTTGATTTGCTTTTTTGCATAAAGCCACCCAACTCCTTGGGTTTTAAAATGATGTCCTATTTAACATAGCATCCAATCCAAACTCTACAATTTTCTCCTTGATCTGACTCTTGGCAATGCTATTTCTTCTGCCTCATCTTATTCTTTCTCCACAATCTCCCTAAACTTATCTTTTTGTGATTTTGTTTCTCTGAAGTTTCATCAAGTTCTTTTCAATGTCTTAAAAGTTTCTTTGTTGCCCTCATTTTTCAGGTCTTAAAACATCACTCTTAAAATGTTACCCAGATGTGACAGTGCATGCCTTTAATCTCAGTTCTCAGGAGGCAGCGACAGGCAGATCACTATGAATTTGAAGCCAGACTGTTTTACAAAGCAAGTTCCAGGACTGTCTGTTTGACATGGAGAAGCCCTGTCTCAAACATATAAAACAAACAAATAAAATGCCATTCTCTTAGGGAGGACTTCTCCAAGGCTTTCAATCTATATTGTCCCTCAAAAAGTTGTTTTATAAAATTAGCATGCAAAACACATACTTTAAAATCTTTTAGACAGCCACATTCGAAGATCATCCTGAGTGAGTTATCCCAGAAGCAGAAAAATACACATGGTACATACTCACTTATAAGTGGATATTAGAAATATAATATAGGATAAACATATTACAATCTGTACACTTAAAGAAGCTAAGCAAGAAGGAGGACCCTGGGTAAGATGACCAATCCTCATTCAAGAAGGCAAATGGGATGGGCATCAAAAGAAGGAGAAAACAGGGAACAGGACAGAAGCCTACCACAGAGGGCCTCTGAAAGACTCTACCCAGCAGGGTATCAAAGCAGATGCTGAGACTCATAGCCAAACTTTGGGCAGAGTGCAGAGAATCTTATAAAAGAAGAGGGAGATGAAAGACCTGGAAGGGACAGGAGCTCTACAAGGAGAGCAACAGAACTGAAAAATCTGGGCAAAAGGGTCTTTTCTGAGACTGATACTCCAACCAAGGACCATTCATGGAGCTAACCTAGAACCTCTGCACAGATGTAGCCCATGACAGCTCAGTGTCCATGTGGGTTCCCTAGTAAGGGGAACAGGGACGTCTCTGATATAAACTCAGTGGCTGGCTCTTTGATCACCTCCCTCTGAGGGGTGGAACAGCCTTACCAGGCCACAGAGGAAGACAATGCAGCCAGTCCTGTGAGTCCTGATAGCCTAGGGTCAGAGGGAAGGGAAGGAGGACTCCCCTAACAGTGGACTTTGGGAGGGGCACGGGAGGAGATGAGGGAGGAAAGGTGAGATTGGAAGGAAATGAGGGAGGAGGCTACAGCTGGGGTATAAAGTGGATAAACTGTAATTAATAAAAAAATAAATTTTTAAACAGTGAAAATAAACAGGTCAGATTCATTTTAATACTTTACAGAAATTTACATATACAATTATTTAAGTATGCAATCAGAAAACCTAAAAATGACTAATGAAACATTTTATTTTCTACTTGTAAGTCCAAGTCTTTGAAATCTAGTGCACATTTGCCAGTACATCTCACTTCAGACAAGTCACACATCAATTATTCAATAGTCACTCGTAGCTATAGCTACTGTGTTGGGCAGCACATCTCTAGAATCGCATTTTCTGCACAGCAATATATTATGAAACTATTTTTGTTGACCTGACCTGTGTATTTTGTCTCTCCCCAACAAGAATAAGTGTTTATTTGGTCAGATTTCCAGCATGTGGCACAAACCTAGGGTTTAGGGTGTCTTAAAAATGCAGTGACGCTCTTCCCTCTTCTATTCTTGCCTCGGAGAATTGTCAAATGTTCCCATCGAAGGGAATCAGAACATATCATCCCCAAAATATATCACTTCGGCATATTGGCAATTCTGAGTTAAAGGCAAATGGGAAGCAGTAAATATGGGTGTGCTCTCTGCCCTCTTTCTTTCTTCCTAAAAAGGAAGATTAGATTTCCATCCAGAAAAGTCTCCTTTATACATCAAGAACAAAACATTCTTATCCTGGGGAACTCATACAAGTCTATCAGTCTGTATAGACTTTATTAAGTCATACCTGACGGCTATCAATTACTTTCCTTTGTATATTTTCCAGTGAGTTCTCACAGTTCTCTTCCCCAAAGCCATTTTTTCTTCCTCTTGTTACATCTCCACAACTCATTGTTTTTGTTGTTAAAATGGTATATATGCCCTCCTTCTGTGGGGTATTCTTGTCTTTTTAGGTAGCTGCCTTTGCCACACAAAATATCAATACAAATAAAACTTACATTCTTTTCTTCTGTTAACATCTTGTTTTCTGTTGAAGTTGCTGATCTAGTCTTAGAGCCCTTTAAGGCTTAATGGAAAGATTTTTCTACCCTACACTCTGATGCATTGTTTTAAAAGCCACTGAGAGACATAGATCCTCTAATTTGAGATGGTCACATGATATAATGAGCTCAAAGTAACATCATTGGACATGGAGGAGGTGGGGAGGAGACAGGAATTGTGGCTGGAAAGTTTTCTCAGCAAGAGAAGAGCTATTCTTCAGGGAAAGTTAGGCAATTGTCTCAATATCTGGGAAGCAGTTCTGTAGCCTAGCAACAAGCTCAGGCTGAAGCATTGGGCAATGTCTATCTTAAGATTCAGGGAGGTTCACTCCACTGTGGGAATAATTACCCAGGGTCTTTTAATGTGTTATCTGAAGTGTAAGTTTGGGAGGGTCTAATAACATGACTGCTGTGTGACACTCTGGGTAATAGCTGGGACATGCCATACACATCAGGAAGAAGCTGAAGACGGCTATTTTTAAAGCAGAGCATGAAAGTATCCTTCCTGAAGCTACATGCACTGTAGCCTGCTTCCTCTCCAACTCAGCTTCTGGAGACACACAGAGTTCACGTGAAGACGTATGTTCAATGTGGATATTGAACTCTGCTCCGAAGCCACAGCAACTCTTTTGTATTGCATAAGCCGCCCCCTTCCTACAGAGAGTGAATGCATTGGTAGCTGATAATAGGGCTGAAACCAAGACACAGACACTAGCTGGGTTGAAAGTATCATGATAAAACCGTTCTGTGTACTAAGTAACTTGTGAAACCATACTACAGAAGTGTTACTTACAATTTACTGACAACTTTGGGCCCAAAACCATGCTATGTACATCACACATGCAGATGTCCCTCAGAATGTAATCTAGCTAATGCTAGAAAAATATTTAGCTCAAAGCATACAATATGGAAGAGGAAGTTACTTTTTTTCTGAATTTAAAAAGTTGGAGCCAATTCTTGTTCTGTGTAAGAAGACTTAATCACACTAAATAAAATTAACTAACTTTTGTCTGAATTTTCAGAAGCTTAATTAAATAATATATAACTATGGACCAAATAAGCTTTTAAAAAAAAACAGCATTTTTATAATTGAGTCTTTGAGAAGCTACAGAGGCCAATACCTTGAGGGAAGGAAGCTATAGAAGCCTAAGAAGTTACAAAATAAGAATTTGTCCCCTTGACAACTAGAACTGGTGAAACAGAGAGGAGAACTGAAAAGCTTCAGTTCATCAGCACTAGATTTGGTCTTCTGAATGAAGTATTTAGCAGTTGGCATAGTTGTGTATGGGAGAGGATGTTTAACATAATTTTACAAATATTGCCATCTCATAAGGATCAAAGTCTATCCACGGCCGCACACCCCAGTGAAAAATTCTTTGTTAGAGAAGAAAAGCCTCATTCAGGATGAATCCACCACTGTCCCTTTAGGTCCTGTCAAATGAAAGCATAGGGCCTAAAGGGAGAAAATACAGACTCAGAGAATTCATTTTTAAAGACTTCATAAGGCAATGAAGCTGGAGGAAAATTTAATTAATTAAACTCCAAGCAAGGGCTCTCCTTACAAGCTAAGTGGCCTACGGCGTGGTGGTGACCATCCAGCACTCCCTGAAGTCAACTCAAACTGACTCTTACAGTGCATAACCCAGCTTTGCTTACGCCAGGTGAGAACTCTGATCACAAAGAGCAGCATGAGAGCTTTCTATTCCACAGCAAAAAGACAATGAACTACGACAATTTCAACACTGGTAAGTATGATGTCTGCATCTTGTTGCTTCTCTCTTTCTCTCTATCATCTATCTCTATCATCTGTCTATCTCTCTGTCATCTCTATCATTCATTCATCTATCTATCCTCTAACAATCATATATCAATCAACTATCTAATTCTATCTATTTACCTCTCTATCATCTATCATTTATCATCTATCTATCATTTATCTATCATTTACCATCAATATATCATCTATTTATCTATCATCTGTCTACCATATATCATCTAATTATCTGTTTCTCTATCTATCATCTATCTATTTCTGTTATTCATGTATTTATGCAAAGATGACATTAAAGTGGAGGAGGTCTCTGAGGGAAAGAGAAAATGGGTAGTGGGTATAACGAGGCAAGGCAGGAAAGAGTACTGGGAGGAAATATGGCCAGAGTATGTGTTACACTTAAATAAAAATGTCCTTATGAGACATTCTTTGTACAAAGAATATCTGTTGACAAAAAAGAAAGCTGTGCAGCTGGAGAGATGCCTCAGCAGTTAAGACCCCTGGCTGTTCTTCCAGAGGACCTGTTTGGATGGATTCCCTGCGCCACATGGCAGCTCACAACTGTAACTCCAGTCCTGGGGATCTTACATCCTCTCCCTGCATCTGTGGGCACTGCACACATGGGAGGGACAGACGTACATGCAGACAAAATACCCATACAGATGAAAAATATTTTTAAAAAGAAAAGACAGCTGTTACCAACAAAAAACTTTAGAAGTTTAGAATCCCACAACGTTTAAATTTGTACCATTCATGACCTTTTTCAAATCTCTAAAACCTTTATAAGGTATCTTTATCAAAAGGAAATTATATTGCTTCCTTTTCTAGCCAAAGAACTTGAAGGGTGTTTGGGTGGTAGCAAGGATGCATTAGAACTCATTCCTATGTAAGTGAGTTCAGAGAAATTAATCAGATACATATATGCAAGTTACAGCGAGTGAGTTGGGGGTGGGGCCAGTTGTGAACTGAAACAGTGACAGTGGCCTTGAAAGGGTCTGAAAACTGCCTGAAAATTCAGTTAAAATTCTAAACATATGAGACTTAGGATTTTAACTGAATGAAGGGGGACAGCATCTGGGGTAGATGGGAGCGGGTTTCTGAGGAAAGTCACTGTTTAAAAGTCCCCAAAAAGGGATCACACAGTGCCTTGAAGATTAGGGACTATAAAGGACTTCAGGTACCCGAGCGTCATGTACCATCACATGCCTCTGTGTCCATGTGATTCTATAGAGATTCTATAGAGACTCATTATATTTAATTAAGGATTGGGAAAAGAGGTTTAATATGCTCCAATGGCTGGAAGTTTCCAGTATAGAGTCATTTCCCCTCCAGGAATCTGTGCAGGGTCCTGATTCCCACTATGAGTGGGTTTATTCTATGGGGGTTATTTCTGTTAATCCCAAGGATGGGAGGAGAAAAACCCACTGACCCAAATCGCCATAGCCAGATTAATTACAGCATGCAATTAATTCAAGCAAGCTTCTTTGTTCATGTACATGGATTGCCTTCCCCTGAGGCAGAGTTTGAGAGGTCAGCATTGGATGTGAGGAAGACAAGGCTTTTATAGAGCTCGAGGCAGTTTCTAAATGGAGAATTTGGTGGGCAAAACAGATGGGGTTACAAGGAAAACATAAGCCTAACAAGTTAGTCCCTCCTGAAACAAAAACATGGTGGCAAAGTGAGCATGACATAGTCATATGAGTGAGTATGAGATAATCATAACAACAGGTAGTCATACCAAGGTCATAGGCGGTCATACAGCCTTTTGAAGCACAGCTAGGGTTGCAAGATGCTGTAAACAACTTTTTGAACCAAGACATGGTGGCTGTTTCCTGGAACGGGGGCAGAACCATTTGTAGTTAAGGCTACAGGAGGGCATAGCGCAATCCTTGAGAAACAGAAGTCTAATCATAAAGAGGAATAAACCTAGTTTGTTTTCTCTATACAATGGCTTTTAAGCTTAAGGTGGAGGCAGGGTGGCACCCTGCTTAATCACTCTGTTAATCCAGTAAAACTCCGAGTAGGGGCTGGGAATACAGGGCAGCTGGCAGAGCTCTTGCCTAACATGCATAAAGCCCTAGGTAAAATTCCCCAAACTGAAAAACAAAAACAAAAGCAAACATTCCAATTATTCACAACAAAAAAATAACAAAAGACAGGATCGGGGCCAGACTGTTCATTTAGAAGGACTACAATGTGAGTGGATTTATTTGTAAATGTCCAGTGTTCTCAGGTACCTCATACTGATTTTTCTAATTCCATTTCACATTTTTCCTACTCCTCCTCACAAATGCAGTAGCACTACCCCAGTCCTTATTTTCCCCAGACTCGGAAAGATACAAACCCACCCCTTGCTCATCTGGTTTACCACAGAGTACCTAGCACAAGCCCAACCTGTCAACAGTACGTCTTAAATTGATGGAGAGACTCAACAACAAGCCAAACCCTGTAGTTTGGGACAGAACTCAAACATCTATGAAAGTAGGTGATTCTTTCCACCAGCTTTTCACAAAGCACAGGAAAATGTGTCTTAGGCTCCGTACAGAAGGAATATTCAGAAGGATCAAGCTCTCTCCTATCACCTTCTCTTCTCCTTGGTTTCCCAAAGGAAAAGAACAGCCATAAGCAATGCTTAGAAGGAGCATTTCCAAGCCAGGAAATAGATACAATTCAAGTGGAAGCCAAACTGCCCAAACCCTTGATAACGTCACTAAAAACAACATTAAAAAACCACTCACTCCTCAGCTCCAAACATGGCAACAGTCTTGCCTGATTATATTCACCCAGCAAAACTAATATTCAAGCAGTCTTAATAAGGCACTTCATGTCATTAAAGCAGGACACGGCCCTGCGGCAGATTCTCAGAGGACATTAATAAGATATGACTCCTGGTTATGTCCAGTGGGATATCTGTTGTTACTATCTATATCTATTCATGTCATCCCAGACAAGCTGCCTGTTATAACACATTTCCTCTGGGACCCACTGGGTGTTTTAATAATTAGGGAATTATTTATCATCCACAAAAAGCAGAGGAAAAACTCTATTTGTGCAAGACCATTTCTGTCACAAAAAAAAAGGCAAAACCAGAAAACATTTAGCCAGGAAATGCATGCCATCACCTCATCCTTAGCCTAGAACTCCTCTGTTGGATTGAGAAATCCAGCCAAAATTTACTTTGGAAGCAGTTGTGTGTTTCTGTTTTACTTACTTATGCTTTTACTTATCTATGAATTTGTAGGTTTTTCCTTAAAAATGTCTTTGGTCTGAAACAGGGTGAAAAAGAGGGATTGTGTTTGCCATTGTTTTAGGACCCAAGCTCTCCTCCACAGCGGGACTTGGAGGACCTCATCCTGTGACCCCACACATCTACAGGGCAGCCCGATGGACCCCCTCCCATGACACCCAAGCCTCCTAATGGGGAGGGATGATCAGTTCCTACCAATCTCATGCTAAAGTGACCTAGAGAGGGTTGCAAGTGCAGAGGGGGATATGAAGGGACTGGGAGATGAGTGGGATGGGGGTGCATGATGTGAAATTTAGGAAGAATCAATTGAAAGTTTAAAAGGGAAACAGGGGGAAAGAAAAAGAAAGAAAGAGAGGGAGGGAGGGAGGAGAGAGAGAAAAAGAGAGAGGAGGAAGAAGGAAAGAAAGAAAAAGAAAGAAAGCGAGGAAAGGAAACTGAAAACAACCACAACAGAAACACCACAGGGAAGTCAAGATCATTCTAGGGAGGAGGAAGCCTTAATGCAGTACCTATGATCCTGGTGAGCAGACATGGTAGGGTTCAGCTGATAGTTGGGAGAAGGAAAGTTGTAGGAAGGCTGTGCACTAGGCTGCCTTTTGGGAGGCATGGGTCAAGCTTCTATCCTAAACGCAGCATCTCTCTCCTGCAGCTCTGATACCTCACCACTAGTGATCATCCAGGCATTAACTACCTGCATGCCTCACAGAAGATGAGAAAACACCCACTGGCACCCAGGAGAGCACACTCCGGAACTGAATGTTAGGCAGAGAGCAGAAGGCTGTGGTTGCCTCCTGGAAGATCAACAGCCTCTGTCTAGCACTGTGCCTGTTCACAGCAGAGTAAAAATAAAAAAGATCTCAGAAAAGCAGAAAGGAGGAAGGACTGAGCATTCATGCCAGCAACCCAGCACCCCTGATGAAGCAGAGAGGCTCTCGAGAGCTTAAACAGTATTTTCCCAATGAAAAACCATCCCCTTGTGGATGGATTGCTGTAACCCACACTGCACTTGCCACTTGCGTATGAGCTTTGTACGTCGTTTTGCTGATTTCTATGCGACCCACTGTTCCTTTCCGGGCGATTCCTAGTACCCAATCCCACTTTACTTTACTAACCAGCTTGCAATCTTCTTGCATTCCATTTGTTCTCTGTGGACACCCAGTCCTCTCGAACAGGATTTTGATGAGGCTCTGTGGATGATCGAGGGACCGGCGGTCACCAACAGAAAGGACACTCAGGACTTGTAGCAGGCCTTGGCCCCCAGCGCGGCTGCTGTCCTGAGTGCGGACTTTGTCAGTCTCCGCAGAGGAAACAAGGCTGAGGGGGTAGGACAGTAGCACCACCAACACTGAGAGGTTTGTCCAGAAGCACATATCCACTGTTCCCTTGGCTTGAGGTGGGCTGGGGTGGGGAATGGGTGGGAGGCTACGTGAGGGGTGAAGTGACAGCCAGAGGAATTCCTGTGGTGGAAGGGGAAAAAACAACGGCTTCAATTTTTGTACACGCACCAAGTTTGAACAGACTCACTAATTGGGTTGCTAAACTGACTTGCAGCGGCAGCAACAGGGGGTCCGGATGTAGCTTGTAACGCCAAAGACGGTGGCCAGCAAACCGTACCTACGTTAACTCCTCAGATGATCAGAAGAGGGTGCGTTTTCCGTCTGCAGGCGGTGCCTGGCACAGGACCTTAAACAAATTCTGTGAAGTCAGTGAAGAAAATTAAAGAGAAAATGACTTCTAACGAAGCTCCAATATCGCACTGAATTAGAAGCCTTTGAAGAAGACCAACGTACTAGAAAAAAAGTTACATCCAGGAAACACTAGTTAGTTTTTAGCTTAGTAGAAATCAAGACTCTGGAAAATGAACTTTCTTAGAAAAACTTCAAGCCCCCAGAAGGTGGGAAATGTCCTCAGAGTAAATCAGAACCTATGGAGAAAACAAAATCTCCAATCGACTATATAAGGAGTGCAAAATGTTTTCAGCATCTCTTGTCTGAGCCAGAGATGAGCCAGTAATTCACTTGGGGGTAATAAGAAAATCCTGAGACTAGTTTTATGGTTAAAAAAAAAAAAAAAAGTTTCCGACTCTTATGTTAGTGTTTTAAGATGAGAGACTGTGACAATAAACCTTTCTAAACACAGCACTTACCTCAAGGAGAAATAGTTATTTATCTTGAGCTCCCTGGACCTTTAAATCTCTGCGAGCATTTTGTGGTCCCAAAGTCCTCTGTTTTAAAATTCCTTGACTGTGCACTGGGAGCTGAAGAGGATTATTTCAGCCCAGAGACATTTCTAGTTGCTATGGAGAGGGCTGCTAAGAAGGTAAAAATGAAGGTGGATAAAAGCAGACCGTTTCTAGCTGATGGACTTGCAGGATAATCAAATACATGTGGTTAGGGAATTATCCTTTTATATCAACATTTAGCACAACATTTTAGAATTATCTACAGCCATTTGCCTCCGAGGGACAGAATCTAAGTCAAAAAAAAAAAAAAGAATCCACCTTGCAAAATGAAAGAGATTCATGTTAGATGAGGCATTTCCCTGTCCAGCTGATCACTGTTTCACCCAGCCTAAAATCAAGAGTTTTCAGAAACTGCAAATATTTTAAGATTCAGGGAATTCATAAATAATGTTTTAAACTAAAAGTATTCATTGAAGGAACACATTTCTTACCTGAAAAGTAGGTAGCTACAAATGGATGACTTGTGCCAACTACTCATTGAATACAAAAACTGGGCACAAAAGAGCGAGATAACCACAAAAGAAATTTTGTTCCCTTTGATGGACATTTGGAAGGAAAACAGTGTCAGAAAACACCAGGGTTCTGTTTAACTACCCATTATGAATGTGGTTTTTGTCTCAAACGTCAAAGAAAGGGACTTGACCTTTTCCTTATAAGCACCATGGTGATATTAACTGGAGTTAAAGGCTAGACTCAAAGCAAGAAGAAGCAAAGACTAGACTTTCAAACTGAGGGTCCAGCAAGGGCAGAGGAACCAGCCCTTAAGCTGTGGACTTCAGGGCATTGAACCAAAACCCCCTAAAGGCACACGTTCATTGCCAGCGGCTGTCTCTCCGGTAGGATCCACCATGTAAGGTTTGGCCTTTCCAGCCTCAAGAGCTTGGTTAACAGCCGCTAAAGAAATAATAGTTCAGTGCTTATGCAACAAATTAGCTGGCCTTAATCTCCTCATTAATTAGTCTAGTTACAAGGAACAAATCATCAAATATATTCAATTCCCATAGCATCACCTGCCCTATTGCTCCAGGACTAGTTCCTGACATGCCCTGATCAGCACCCTCAAGACTATGGCCTTGCTAGAGAATTTTCACCCACTCCCCAGTTCTATAGCCAGTGTCCAGCCTGAAAGGCGTCCATGGTTTCAAGTTCTCTGACTCGGGGTTGTAGTTTTCACCTTTGTGTTCCCACTGCCTGTTTCCCCAGCAAGACTGAAATTAATCTCTCTTACATGTGTTTTCATTTTCTTTTGTTTATTTGTTTTTTAATTTAAATTTATTTTTTATAATTTATTCACTTTATATCCTGATTGTAGCCCCCTCCTTTGTGTCCTCCCAGTCCCACCCTCCCTCCTTATTCTCTCCTTCCCCTCCCCTGTTCCTCAGAAAGGGGGAGTCCTCCTCCACTACCATCTGACCCCAGACTATCAAGTCTCATTAGGACTACCTGCCTCCTCATCCTCTTCCTCTGTGGCCTGGCAAGCCTACACACACACACACACACACACACACACACACACACACACACACACACACACATCAGCAACAGTCCCTGCTTTCCTTACTAGGGTACCCGGATGGAGACTGACCTGCCTATTGGCTACATTTGAGCAGGGGGTCTAGGTCCTCTCTGTGCAGGGTCCTTGGTCGTTGCATCAGTCCCCACAGCCCCCACCTGGACCCAGATATTTTGGCTCTGTTGGTCTTCTTACGAAGTTCCTGTCCTCTCCAGTTCCTTGTATTTTCCCACTCTTTCCTACGACTCCCTGCACTCTGCCCAAAGTTTGGCTGTGAGTCTTAGCATCTGCTTTGATCTCCCACTGAGTGGAGTCTTTCAGAGGCCATCTGTGGTAGGCTTCCATCCTGTTCCCACTCTTCAGCTGCTTCCAGCGTCTATTCTATTTGCCCTTCTGAATAAGAATTAAGCATCTTCCCTAGGGTCCTCTGTTGGGGGTTGTTTTGATACTGTCCTCAAGATCTGGTTATTCCCCAGATATACCTATCCTTGTTGTGTAAACCTGCCTAAGACATACCTGATTGATTGATTGACTGGCCTTTGTTTAGAATGGGGTAGGCATGGCTAAGGTTCTTGGGATTTTGAGGACAAAAGAACACAGGAAGGAGATGGGAAGAAAGGAGGAAGGAGGATGCCATGATGGGTTAGCATGGAGAAAAACAAAAACAAAAACAAAAACGTGGGTGGGGAGAAAGGACTCCAAGAACAGTGTGGATGGAAAAAAAACACCAAATATAAGCAAATGTTTATAAGATTATGGATAAAAGGTAGCCCAGGTAAAGACTGTTAAGGAGAATGCCTGCATGGGGGTTGAGAGATGGACGGTGAGGTTATTGAGATAGTGTAGGTAGAAATATCTGCCTGGCCCAAGGTAAATAAAGCAATTATAAAATCTAACAGGCATCTATGTCTTATTATGCGTGATAGCAAATCAAATAATACTATCACAATAATTATAGGGCTAATAATATATACCATATAGCCCACACCTTTTTACTATAACAGTCCTCCTTGTTACTTAGCTTCTTTAGGTTTCTGGATTGTAGTATGGTTATCCTGTGCTATATGGCTAGTATCTTCTTATAAGTGAATACATACCACGTGTGTCTTTCTGGTTCTGGGTTACCTCACTCAGGATGATCTTTTCCAGTCCCATCCATTTGCCTGCAAATTTCATGATTTCCTTGTTTTTAATAGCTGAGTAGTAATCTGTTGTATAGATGTACCACAATTTCTGTATCCATTTTTCAGCTGAAGGACATCTAGGTTGTTGCCAGATTGTGGCTATTATGAATAAAGCTGCTATGAACATAATTGAGCAAATGTCTGTGTTAAATGGTGGAGCATCTTTCAGATGAATGCTCAGCAGTGGTATGGCTGGATCTTGAGGTAGCACTATTCCCAATTATCTGAGAAAGTGTCAAATTGATTTTCAAAATGGTTATACAAGTTTGCTCTCCCACCAGCAATGGAGGAGGTTTCCCTTTCTACGCATCCTCACCAGCATGTGCTGTTATTTAAGTTTTTGGTCTCAGCCATTCTGATGGATATAAGATGGAATCCCAGAGTCATTTTAATTTGCATTTCCCTGATGACTAAGGACTCTGAGCATTTCTTTGAATTTTTCTTCAACATTAGCTATTCCTCTGTTGAGAATTCTCTGTTTAGTTCTGTGCCCCATTATTAATTAGGTTATTTGGTTTGTTCAAGTTTAATTTCTTGAGTTTTTTATATATTTTGGATATTAGACCTCTGTTGAATGTAGGGGTTCCCTGGGGTTTGTATGTATCAATTTTCATTTTTCTGCAGCCTGCTGTAGGCCTTGCTGCTCTTGCCAGGGGTCTGTCTAATCAGGAATCTGTGACCTCCTAGTTTAGGAATTGTGTTACTTTGTTTTTAAGGAAGAGAACTAAAAACTGCTTTATCATTTTACTTTCTATGTAAGTTCTTCCTAGGTTACTTTAAATTCTGACCCATGATGGGCACCATTTGTTGATGATTATTAATATTTAATATTGATTTATCTTTTAGCTAAACAGTGGTTATTCCTAAACCAGCTCTATACTCAAATCATCACAGAGAGATTAAGATTTATTTAATTAACCTAGAGCACAATGCTGGGCAATAATTACTCCATCTTAAGCCTCCAAGCCCTCATAGCTTCCTCACATTCAGATTTCCCACATTATACTTGCTTTTTAATCATATCTCAGGTCCGGTTCATTTTTCCTGATGTTTCTAGGTCCTGTGCTCTTGGATCTTTATTCCCACTCCTCTTTTATCCTCCCCTTCAAACCAGGATGTCCCACCCTATTCTTTCCATTGCTCAGTATTGGCTGTTTGTTTTTATTGACAATACAGAGAACAAATAGTAGCATATTTACACAAACTCAAGACAGGTGATGCTTATTCTAAGCATGCAATGTCAGGATTGAAACCAGATAGTGGGGTAGATAAATCAGCATTTGAATGAACAAGGATAAATTTTATACATTCCATAAGAACAGTATACCAACAGTTTGGCTTTCTGTACATTGACCTGTCCTTTGATGAGAGTGGGGTGTTGAAGTCTCCCGCTGTTAATGTGTGGGGATCCATGTGTGGTTTAAATTTTATCAATGTTTCTTTTACAAATTTGGGTGCTCTTGTATTTGGGACATAGATGTTCAGAAACCTTCTTCCAGCCCTTATTCTCAGGTAATGTTTATCTTTGTGGCAGAGGTGTGTTTCTTGTATGCAGGAAAATGTTGGGTCCTATTTATGCATCCATTCCATTAGTCTGTGTCATTTTATTGAAGCATTGAGTCCATTGATATTGAGAGAGATTAATGACCACTGACTGTTAGTTCTTTTTATTTTGATATTGGTTATGGTAGTGTGTTTGCATGCTTGTCTACTTTTAGTTTTTGTGTAATGAGGTTATTTATTTCCTGTGTTTTCCTGGGTGTTGTTAGCCTTCTTGGGTTGGATTTTTTCTCTTGTATCTTCTGTAGGGCTGGATTTGTGGATAGGTACTGTTTAAATTCGTTTTTGTCATGCACTATCTTGTTTTCTCCATCTATGATGATTGAAAGTTCTGCTGGGTATAGTTGTTTAGGCTGACATCTGTGTTCTCTTACGGTCTGCATGACATCTGTCCAGGCCCTTCTGGATTTCATAGTTTCTATTGAGAAGTCAGGTTTGATTCTGATAGGTTTGTTCTTATACATTACTTGACCTTTTTCTCTTGCAGCTTTTAATATTTTTCTTTGTTCTGTACATTTAGTGTTTTGATTATTATGTAGCAGGAGGATTTTCTTTTCTGGTCTAATCTAATTTGGTGTTCTGTAGGCCTCTTTATGCTTATAGGCATCTCTCTCATTAACTTGGGTAAATCTATAATTTTGTTGAAAATGTTTTATGGGCCTTAGAGATGGGAATCTTCTTTTTCCTCTGTTCCTATTATTCTTAGGTTTTGTCT